GTTATCGATTTTTAATGATAAACTTGATATGCGCGCTGTAATTACGGACATTTAAAAAAAAATTGAAGTCGCTAGCTCTTATATCTTCTGAAATCGACGCGGTCATACATACGGACAGACGGATAGACGGACGGACAGACAGACGGACAGGGCCAAATCAACTCAGCTCATCGCGCTGATCTGCCACGCCTCCTTCTGCCTGTTACATACATTTCAACAAAACCATTATACCCTGATTTCCCATTGAAAATGGGTTCAGGGTATAATGATTAGCATTTAACTATAAAGAAAATAAAGCTAAGATTAGGATTGCGGTTTTGCTTACGATAATATTACAAATACAATTCCTTGAACTAATTAAACTCATCAACTAAAACATTTATATAAAAATTCTAAATATAAAAGCTTAAATGAATACAAACTCTTTAATATATAATATAATTCGGGCCTAATAATAAGGTACCATATTTATTCAAAGAATGTATAAATATTTTTAATTTGAATATATAAAGATATAAATTTTGTAATCGATATTTGTATTATTCGATTGATTGACTTTTAATTTATTTCTTTTTTTAGCTAATGGATAAATTCAACAAATGGTTTGGTGCCTCAAACAAATTTGAAAAAATGAGAAACGCAGCCATGGCTGCCAAATTGGCAAAGCAAAAAAAGAAATAATCGATTATGAAATGAAGCCATTATTATAAATCTCCTTTGATTATATAGTAAATAAATCATGTTACATGTAGAGTCGTGTATACCATACTGTTTAAGTTATGTTATGGATTTTTGTATAAAGCCATACGTAATTTTAATGATATTATTACGTTCTAATGAAGATGGACCATCTACGGGAAAACTTTTCGTATATTAAAACACTGTACCTCAAACGCAGAATAAGAATATTATAGTTTCTTATTAAAATGATATGACTTTTATTTATCAAACATTTACATCGATATTATTCTAGCAGTTATATTTAATGTATTTTTCCTTTTTAATGTTTTGGCTATTTATTAGCTAAGGTTAGTAAATTTATTAATTTTATGTGCCTTAATTAGCTAGTTATATATATTAAAATTAAAACTTAATTACCTAAATGCTAATAAGACGGTGCTTAAAATATTTTTGTATTGGTATTGATCGTTTGTTTTATTCAATTACAGCTATTCGGTGAATTCTAATCAAACTAGTATTATCAAAATTTTATGAACAGACGGACATTTAAAATCTATTAAGCTAATGGCTCACTTATATAATATATCTCATTACAATTTTTCAATTTTAATTACTTCTTAGTTTACACTCAGACTATAGTTAAACAGAAGTAACAAATACCATGGAAATTATCAAGATCGAGTATGTGCTTAGATTATTTGATAACATCTGTTTCTTTTTTCTAGGCCAATGAGCTATGTATATGTACTATCTTTATTTACCCAAGTATTCTTATAGATTATTAAAATGGTATTTAAATATGTTAAGAAAGTTTTTGCAAGTAGCCTTGCTTTTATACATATTGCCCCATAGACTTCAAATTTGATCGTTAATTTATCAAATATTTATCGATCACTGAATTGTAGGTTAAAAACAGGAATACTGTTTTTTACTTTCTCATTTTCTTTACTTTTTCATTTGTTTTGATAGCGCATACCAAATATGTATATATGAGTTGAGCGTTAAAGAATGGAAAACAAAAATATTTGAAGTGCCGGTATTACTTAGAGTTATCCTTCGAATAGATCTAAACATATTGGGTTAACAGAATGTCCCAAAACAGTATTCAAGTCCTTTTAAATATCCAAATCCTACAAAAGCATATTTAGCTAACATTGGTTCCTAAATGATGTTCAACAAAACTCTATTTTCTGCCGCTTTTTTATAAAAAGGAAGATACAAAATTAATTTAAATAATAACTACACATCCATAGACTCTAAATTAATCAAGTCGACCCGATTCTAGACGACAGACCAGGCCAAAACCTATGTACGTATAAAAATGCTTATTTGATTTTTGTTGCCACTCTTTTTAGCCAATAAATAATAACTACTGTATTACTGATATTTATTTTTTGGAAAAATATTATTAATAAAAAGCTTAATTATAAAACATGCTTGAAAATTTAAATCAGATTTACAAATCTAGCTCCGCTCCGATTTCTTTATGAGATACATGTTTTTTGTATAGCTCTATTATCTATATTAAATTATATTCGCATAATGCAGTTGGAAACGTCATAATAAGTACTTATACATATTTATATATAAATATATATATACATTAGAGTAATAGTTAAGTGACCGTGATATTTTATGATGACATATATTTATATATATTTGACATTACACAAGTATTGATCATTTAAAATACATCATTTTTTTTTGTTCATTTCATGGACCTCAGCAGCTCATACGATATTCAAGCTATGCTTAACAAGTAAGAAAGCTATAGTCGAGACTGCTCGACTACGAGATCCCCTGAATCCTTGGAGCAATAGCTATTTCAATAATTTTTCGCGTCTTTCAGCTTACACAAGAAACACACACACACGCACGCACGCACACTCAGGCATACATACACACACACGCATACACACACACATACACACACACGCATACACACACAAAAGCAGACACACACAAAAGCAGACACACACATACACACACACGCACGCACACACAGGCATACACACACACACACGCACGCACGACACACAGGCATACATACACACACACATACACACACACACACACACACACACACACACACATACACACACACAAACACACACACATACACAAACACATACACACATAAACACGCATAGGCTGCAGTGTGCGCTTACTATGAGAACTTAATTGCTTAATAACTGTGTGTGGACATACGATCTTCATGACACTTTTAGATTATGATAACAACATGGATATGCATGTATTTGCCAAAGCACAAGTCTCTAGTATTTGAAATACGCCTTTTACAAAAGTGAGGGTGAGGGGGTGAATATAGGGGTGGGGGGTAAATTTTAACAAAATCCGAAATTGCATAAATTGCTTATAAGCATACATAAAAAATTTGGAGACTCTAGCAATAAAGTTGTAGGAGATATAATTTTATAACTGGTTTTCGAGAAGGTTTTTTATCGATAAAAAAAAGATCGGGATGAGTTATCGATTTTTAATGATAAACTTGATATCCGCGCTGTAATTACGGACATTTAAAAAAAATTTGATCTCATCTTCGGAAATCGACGCGTTAATACATACGGACAGACGGACAGACGGACGGACAGACAGACGGACAGGGCCAAATCAACTCAGTTCGTCGCGCTGATCAAGAATATATACACTTTTTGGGGTCTGCCACGCCTCCTTCTGCCTGTTACATACATTTCAACAAAATCATTATACCCTGATTTCCCATTGAAAATGGGTTCAGGGTATAAAAACAAAAGTTGTAATGCGTTTGGCATACACGATATCCAGTCTCCAGCTTTGACACGGACCGACAGACACTCAGACGGACGGATGGACAGCCGAATATAGCTAGATTGACTCATATTGCCATCCTGATCAGAAAATATATATTATATATGGGTATGCTACGCAACCTTCTCATGTTACATACATTATAAACCTGAATTCCAACTATAGCTGGGTTTTCGGTATACAAATGAAATTCTCCACAATATAATAAAGATCTAAAATGTTCATAGATAGCATTAACTTCAATTCGAATTCAATTCACCAATAAGTACAGTAGTCGCCATGTAACGACTACGAGGTACCTAAGCTCTTTCACCCTTCAAAATAGCATTCAAAGTAGCTAATATAGGTTGAAAAAGATTTGGTTTTATGCTTTGTACAAAATAAGAAAAGTTAATGGTTATTCCAGAAATTCGTTGTCCACAATACCAGCATATCCAATACCAATAGGTAAAGTTCAAGGTATCAGTTCACATGTGTGAGTGAGACAGCTTAAAATAGTAATCACACGAAAGTCTTTCTTATTTTAATTTTGTTTCTTATTTAATGTGAGCTGTATGTATTAAATGATTTGAATTGCTGATGCTTTGATTGGAATTTTCTTTGCTCATCTCATGGACGATCGCTTATATATATATATTATTACACATTAAAAACAGTAAATACTTTAGTAATTCCAATATTTTTACTTAATATCTCAAGACTCATTAGGATCTATCCCATAAATATTTTAGATTATCTGTAAATTATTACCTAAGCTAATTTGATTATTTAGTTCTTAAATCGTATTGGTTTTTATATTTTTTTATATTTGATACCGTCATGAATTTAATCATGATCTAACAGTACTAGAACTCTTTATAGCTTACATTTAAATTATATTGTATATACATGTATGTTATTATTTCCAATATACAAATATCATATTTTGGTGGTGACACATTTAAGTAAACCCAATAGAGGCAAAAATGAAAAAAAAAAAAAAAACCTTAATATAAAATCCCTTTTACGTGGCTAAGGAATGATTTATTTAAGATATCTCGAAATGCAATAATTTATAATGCAATACACACTTTTAATTATATATATACATCTCGATGCCTGAAGGTCTTTGTCGCTCTGGCTTAACAAATTGTTATTTAGAATTAATTCTTGATAACAATAAATAAATAAATAAATAATATACATCTCGGACGCCTAAGATTTTGCCAATTTATGGGAATAACAAATTTTGTATTATTATTTGAAAGTTTTTTGTCGGCAGTATATCGGCGGAACAATGAGTTAGTAAATTTTTTAATCTTTACATTATATATGAACTTTTAATATTTGTGGATATACCACATAATCAAAATAAACATTTCAAATTTTTTGTATGGTATGCCTGTCTTCGTTATTTCAATCTACATACCTACTTATATACCAGTGGGATGAAAATACTCGCTCACAAACTAAAAATTATTCATTTTCTTTTACTTGAGTTTTTACTCAATCTTTACCGCTTTTTTTGACAGTGAAAGAACATGACAAAGTCGGCAGAGACCGACTTCAATATTCTTACTTATATTTACTTTGTTGTCATTTATTACATATGAATTATACTACTACATTTATTTAATAAACATATGTTATTCCATTTAGAAAATTCTATAACATTGTAATACTTATGCTTTCTTATTTGAAACATATAGGAAATATATATCAACAAAAAATAATGATGATTCAGTAAATAACAAAAATTATATATATTTATATTCCTATATGTATTTACATAAGTTTAAACTCAATTTTGATTTTTTAATATATTTTTGACTTGATAAAAGAACTAAACTAAAATCTTTAATACACTAGCAAATTAAGTGTGTTACTGTATGATTCTCTTACCTCAACATAACTTTTAATATCTACTAAATATTATAAATATGTACATATTCTAAATACATAGTAAGGCACCTTTGAACTTAGATTTGCAAATGATTAAATATTTTTAAATAATAATCTTGACCGATAAAATAAAAATAACATATAGTAAAATTATAACATCCATGGTGATTGCTAATCGACTGCAACTTGAAATGCCCATTTTATATTCCATATCTATATCCAGGAGAAGATCATGATTGCGTGTATAGAACTGATGAATATCACTGATCTACAATATATAAATAATTAATGACTTTATTTTGAAAATACTATAGCTATTTTTAGCTATATAGCTATTTTAGCTATAGCTAAAATGTATATACAAACCTCATTCCATCCATATTTGTTTTTAGCTTGCACTATTGCCTCATAGACAGCATTATGTTCCAGGTTCCGTATGACGTATGACATTAAATAATGTGTACCGTCTGTCCGAATCGGAATAGGTTTTATATGATATTCGTGCCATTTACCGGGATGCTGGTAGGTTTCGTTCATCTAAAAATTGTTTGTTTGATTAGGAACATATATTTGTCAATAATTATTTTTTCTTTTAGTACTTACCAGCAGCCTTCGGTACAATAACTTAATTTCTTCTAGAGGGGGTATCGACTCTATAGTCCAAGTCAAGTTATAATGATCTAAAAAGCCACTTAAGGCTGGCGAGATAAAATCAGCTGGACCTGGTCTTCCAGAAACCTCAATGTATTTCTTTGTACGTCCCAGCGCATTGTCGGCAACACAACTATAGTTTCCAAAATCAGTTTGTTGGAAATTTCGAATAATGAGACTGTATCTATCATCATGAGGATACATGGAACGTCGATCAGTTGGATCCAGTAGGAACGAGTTCTGGTACCACAGCATCTATTGAAGCAATTTCACATTAATATTTTTCTACCTTCTCCGTTTATAACTTACTTCAGAATTTACATCCCCATGAACCACACACACTAGCTCTATATCATATCCTTCTGCAGCGTGAACCCAAGCTTTCTCTACCGTAATTTCAGGAGGAGCTTTAATGAAAAAAGTTCATAAAATAATTAGTAAATGTTACTACTTTTATTTGAAATCTTTTTTGCGATTTCTTCCTATCTTAGAAATTCCTCAGTACACAGCGACCAATTGGAATGAAATATTAATAGAATCTAATATAGATTTCCTGACATCGGGATGCCTCATAATCGATCTGTGTCGAAGCTTACATATTACCTACCAATACAATGTTGTATTTTGCAAAAATGTACGTAGATCTACTTACATAATATTGTTAGCTGTATATCCATTGATACTCGTTCTTTAACACCATTATCGGCGGAACATTGATATGTCCCTGCGTGATGTCTATCGACATTTTCTAAAATCAATGTTGAACTGTCTGATAAATGAGTTGGCCCAGAGTAAACGTCTTTCTTAAACCAGTATATTGTTGGAACAGGATTGCCTGATGCTTTGCACTCAAGTGTAACTGTGCTTCCCTTTCGCGCAGTTACTTGACCATTATGTGGAAGGGCCCTCAACGTTGGCGGAACTGTAAAATAATTATATTAATAATTTATAGGGAGATGATTAATATTTTAAAAATACCTAAGATTTCCACCGTGTGGACCTGATCTCGATTCTCCTGGTCTCCAAGCTGACATATGTAGTCGCCGGCATCTTGAGTCTTAACTCCATTTATTTGAAGGTTGTAGTCTGCACCAATCTTAAATCTCTGATCTCTTGTAATTTTTAAATGGCCAGCAGTGAGCACGGAAGAGCCTTTTCTCCATAGTAATACGTATGAACCAAGATTTTGAACTTTACATGGTAATTCAATTGTTTCGCCTACTATTACTTTGTAAAGGTGGCCCCTAGACAAAAATTTTGGTGCTGTTGTAGGAGCTTCATTTTCTGGTAGTATGAATGATCCCTCTGAAATGGAAACTGAAAAATGAACATAAATGGCTTTAAAAGCTAGATACAATTTAGAGGACTTTTTTTTTAACTGGTTTAAAAAAATATTAGTTTTAATTTTAAAATTTAAAAATTTTCATTTAAAAGGTTAAACTGTAAAGTTAAGTAAATTAACGCATCTGCTCTATACAAACGTCTGCATTCATTAATTTTAGAATACTATTAACAGAATGGAAATTGCGATAGAAGCAGATTAGTCAAGCCTCATGATACTAATGAATGCGTCGATCTCAGACCTTTAATTTTTTTTTAAATGTCCGTATATATATATAACGCGATGTTTATTTCTAAAAGTCGAGAACTCATCTCGGTTTTTTATCGATTAAAAACCTTATCGAAAATAAATTATTCTCTTATATCTCCTACACCTTTAAAGCTTGTATCCAAATTTTAAATGTAGACTCAAATGTATTTGATAGAATTTCGATGGCAAAGTCCAACCACAAGAAAAGTTATTAAACAATTAAGTTCCCATAGTAAGCTCGCACGGCAGGCTGCAGCCCATGCGTGTTTATGCGTGCGTGCCTATGTGTGTCTGTGAGTATGTTTCTTGTGTAAGCAGAAAAAAGCGAAGAAATATGTATCAGCTCCTCGAAGGGTTTGGGGAATCTCGTAGTCGAACAGTCTCGACTAGAGCTTTCTTAACCATTGAAATGAAATCTATTTAACTTTATTTCTTCATATCACAAAAGGATTAAATATTTATATTACCTTCTGCTAAACAAATCACTTTATTGTTTCACTCCACTTCATATCAATTATGTAAATAGATTGTATTGTGTGATTGGCGTGTCGCCCTGCTATATTTCTGAACGCAGTAAATTTTAATTATTTTCGGTCCTTAAATATTATTGAATATTTAAGTTGTTTGACCTACTTGAAATGCACTTACCTGTAAATGAAATCGATATAGCCAAAAAATAAATGAAGAATTGCATAGTTGCCCACTGATTGCAAAGTATCTGGAAGAGAAATGCATAATAAATATTGCTTAATATAAATTAGTACTAAATTTACATAGAAAATATAATAAATGTATTTTTTAATTCATAGACAAGTATCAGTTCTCTTGACGCTAACACTTCAGTCTACATTGATGTAAGTAGGTGGGGGAGGAGAACGCCCCGGGCGCAATGATTTGAGGGCGGCTAAACGATCTTTGCTGTTCCGTGAGTTTAAAAAACGATACTAGAATAATTTGATTACCCCAATTTTTTTTTACTCAAAAGAAACATTAAATTTCATTACATTCAAAATTTAAAACAAAATTAAAAACTCTTCACGACAGACAGATTTAAATTTGCTGAATGGTTTTTCAGAGGAAGCAACTGAAACAGGTATAGTTAGTAGAATTTGCAAAGCTTTTGCTAATGACTTCTTAAATTCTTATCCCAATGAAGAAATATATACTGATGTTGTTTTGGCGAGAATCTAATTTCCTGAGCCCATTGAAAATGGGAAATCAGTGTATAATGATTAAAAGTAGGTAACAGGCAGAAGGAGGCAGACCCCACAAAGTACATATATTCTTGATCAGGGCGACGAGCTGAGTCTATTGTCCGTATGCTTTCACGCGTCGATCTCAGAAGATATAAGAGCTAGAGACTTAAAATTTTTTCTAGGTCCGTGTATAGCACGCGCATATCGAGTTTTGCTTTAAATATCGATAACTTGTCCCATTATTTTGTTATCGATTAAAAACATTATCGAAAATCAGTTTTAAAATTATATCTCTTACATCTTTAAAGCTAGAATCTTCAAATTTTATATGTATACTTATTGCATACTTATATGCATTTTATACAGTTTCGATTTTTGTCAAAATTAACCCCCTCCCCTCATTCACCCCCTCACCCTCACATTTGTAAAAGGCGTATTTCAAGTACTAGAGACTTTTGACTTGGAATGTACACGCATTTTAACCATATGATCACGCTCTGAAAGTCATAAAGATAGTCCATCTACAAAAGAAACTTTTCAACAATTAAATTTTCAGATTACAAATTTCAGCTCTCTAGCTCTTACAACTTCTGAGATCGACGCACTCATACGGACGGACGGACGGACGGACAGAGGGACAGCTCGTCGTGCTGATCAAGAATATACTTTATACTTATACTAAATACTTTATAGAGTTCGCGATGATTTCTTCTGCCCGTTACATACTTTTTCGCAAAATCATTATAACCTGATTTCCCATTTTCAATAGGTTCAGGGTATAAAAAGGAAACAAGTAACTGATCGAATAGGAAATCCCCTGAACACCGCAAAGAGCTAATATTCCAATCATTCTAAGAATCTTTTATGCACAAATACACACGCATAAATACGAGCTCTGCTAAAATAGCAGCGAATGCGCTTGAGCTGCAATGTAGCCAATATTATGGTAACTTATTTGTCGAGCGAATATCAGTTGGAATATAAGTTCAGCGAAGGATTTAGGGGATCCAGCTGTCTCGACTATACATTTATAATTTTTTTTTTTTTTTAACTTAGTGATTTCAGGAAAATAATATCGACTGTTTGTTTTGGTAAAATCTTTGAAAATAACAAAATATGGCAAAACGTATAAGTGCGAATGTAGAGTAATGAAATATACAATATGAAATTTCACCTGCTTAAGACTCCCGTAGTGGGTAATAAAAACATTTATTATGTTAATCAGAATATAAGTAGAAAATCCATTGAAATTTCGGCTTCTCTCATCCGATTTGAATTGGATGAACATATTTGATTAACTCTACTTTAATTATATTTTTTACCACCATCACATTTGCATGATGAGGTCCCCCCAAAACAACTATAGTAGGGGTAGGGCACGTGGCCGCGGTAATGTAGATTGATTATTTTTGGGTGAAAAACATTCGATTAGACTTTGAATATGCGAATATATATTTAATCGAAAATAAGTTAAAATTGGTTATGTCTAATGGAATATGTTAAAAGAACAAATCGGTTGTGATTCAGGGCATCTTATAGTCATAAATAAAACTTCAACTTTACATAAAATTAAGAGTTATTGAGAGAGCTTACATATATACATATATATATATAAGTTAAACGCTCCCATACTAGAGTACTAGTGATTGGGGGACGCTGTGTTGGGTTCTTGTGAATATATAACAACTTTGTATTCAATGAAATAATATATTTTATATAATTTGGAACAATAGGTCTAAACTCTCTCTAGTCCGAATATAAACTGAACTAAATCTGTTCTACTCGTTAGGTTCTTCCCTTGAATGTCTGACTGGACTCTCCAGCCTCCTTAGATTGTCGAAAGTCTTAACTCTTCCCCATCTAAATATCTGCGTCCCGCAGATCAGGGTGCATATGTCCATTATAATGATATTCATCCAATATAAGTTGTCCAATATAATGGTATTTATCCAATATAAATTGCCCAATATAAATTTATTATCCATAGTCGATAGTTCCAGAGTCCATAAGTTAGCATAAAGAGGACCATCGATGACCACCTTTATTCATTTGTGGTTATGACAATACATCCAACATTGTAAGCGCATCTATTTCATTCCTCGGAAACTAGGAAGGATATACCACGTGTAAAATGCTGTGGATGCTATGGGTGCTAAGGAAGTTAAGGAAGTTAGAGGATTATTACAATTCAATTAATTAAAATGTGCATTTTCCCTTTTTTTTCCTATTTCTTAAGTGTGATTTATGAAGAATTTTTCCAGTTTTTGTTTTGAGTGTCACATTTCGGCTTTCCTTTACTTTGTCTTTTGCAAATCTTTTTTTGTCCTTAGTCTTAATTTGATTGTTTCTTTTATATTATTTCATTGAATTACTAATTGTATTGAATTACGTGTGTTATGTGTATTACTACGTGTGTTATTGTGTTGTCTGTTATAGAATTACTTGAATTACCAATTACTAGTTGTATTATCTTTTGTTACCGAACCGGCAAACAGTTTTTATTATTTTATATGGCTTGGGAAGCCCTCAGGATCCTTTTTGGTGTAAGACCTACTTAGGTGAGGGTGGTTCCACAATCATCTGGTCTCTCTCTTGCTTTCGTTTCATTTATTTATTTATTTTACTTTTTTCTTTTATATATTGTTGCCAGACTTATTCCCTTCCGAAAGGGAAGCCCAAAGTATTCCTCTTTGGTTCTAAGACCTACTAGGGTAAGGGTTATTCCACGATCGAATAGAAGGTCTCTGCAATTCATGTTTTTATTTTTGCATATTTATGCTTTGTTTGTTGATTAGAGATTTCCAGACAACCGGCTTTTAATTTTGTTATATAGTTAGTGCTTTAAACTTAACTTTGACCACTAGGTTTCTTTTAATTTATACGGAAACCCATCATTCAACACAGGTGGAAATTGTGACGTTTATTTTTTATGACATTTGTCTTACGGCAAGGACTTGAACCTCAATACGAGAATCAATCTCGTACCACCATTATGCCTGCAAATTTCTTGTATTTTCGTTTTAAGACTCGTCTCGACACGGATTTGACCTAGGTATTGCCAATACCACCATTTAGCCACGATTTCTTTTATGTTATAGAATTATCTAGTGCACCAACACTTGCTAGAAATTATGTTATTATTTATTGTATTATTATGTTATGGCAAGGACTTTCACCCCATTACTTTGCAAATCGCAGAAGTACTTCGTAATTTTGCCAACAATTGCCCAATTGGATTGGAACAATTTATTTGTACTTGCTTTTTTTAATAAGTTATTTTTATAGAATTATTGACACGTCACCATTTCCCTTTATTTCCGTGAAGAATGTGGGTCCCTGCTCGGGCGCCAGTTAAGCGCTCCCATACTAGAGTACTAGTGATTGGGGGACGCTGTGTTGGGTTCTTGTGAATATATAACAGCTTTGTATTCAATGAAATAATATATTTTATATAATTTGGAACAATAGGTCTAAACTCTCTCTAGTCCGAATATAAACTGAACTAAATCTGTTCTACTCGTTAGGTTCTCCCCTTGAATGTCTGACTGGACTCTCCAGCCTCCTTAGATTGTCGAAAGTTTTAACTTATATATATATATATATATATATATATATATCTTTTATATATATAAAAGAGAGTTGTGTAAAAGTGCTCCTCCACTTATAACTCGAGATCTGCTGGACCAATTTTCATGTTTTTGCTTCCAACAGATTTGTCTCCGCTACGAGTAGGATAATAGATCTTAAAAATACTGAAAAAATTTGACGAATACTTGAAAAACGCGGTTTTTTCCCTAAAGATTCAAATTTTTTTTGATACTCAGTAGGCTTGATAACAGTGACAGTTTTCGGTCCTGCTCTCATATTATACAATAGTATAGAAGTAAATAAACAAAAGTAGTCAGTCAGTCTACGGCACAGCCTCAGGCGAACCTGACTATTCATAAAAAAAATCACATGATAAAAATAATACGCGTTCAGGTATTTGTTTGTCTCAAACATGAATTTCTGTAAATTATTTATATTTATATTTCTCGATTGAATTATGTGGTATATTCAGTATTACTATTAATAACAAGTAAGAAAACTCTAGTCGAGAGTGCTCGACTAGATACTACCCTGAACCCAACTAATAAAAATGCCCATTTACTATGGCTAAAATTTCAATTTCGATGTATTTAAAAATATAAATTAAATAGAAAACTCATTTATGAAAATATAAAAATATAAAATATAAAAAAAATATACAAATATTTTGAAGCAATTAAAAAAATTATCATCAGTTGCACCGATCGGGTTTCGAACCGCGACTTCTCGATCGAGCGTCATGCCGCTAACACACTACGTCACCTCACTTCGCTGGTAAAACTGAAATAGATTCACTGCTGCAGCGCCATCTACCAAAACTAAATCAAACTAACTGCTGATGTGATTCTAAGAATCTGCTAGTATATCCAAACTTTTAAATACGCACATTTAGTATGGTTAAAATTTCAATTTCGGTGTATTTAAAAATATAAATTAAATAGAAAACTCATTTATGAAAATATAAAAATATTTTGAAGCAATTAAAAAAATTACCATCAGTTGCACCGATCGGGTTTCGAAACGCGACTTCTCGATCGAGCGTCATGCCGCTAACACACTACGCCACCTCACTTCTAAAAGCTTCGTTGGCAAAACTCGAATAGATTCACTGCTGCAGCGCCATCTACCAAAACTAAACGAAACTATCAGCTGATGTGATTCAAAGAATGTTCTAGAGGAAGTTGATGTACGTGCGTTTGTTAATTGGCCAAATATTTGATGATTTTTAATTAATTTTTGAGTGAACGGAATTTAATGAAACTTTCAGCATATGATCTACATACTATATTGAATATTTGAGAAATTTAAAAAAAATAGAAATCATTCACAATTAGCTATAGTGGCATCTGACTTGAACTTGAATGTTTTTACTCGATAAAAACATAACGGGATGATTTATCGAATTTTAAAAGCAAACTCGACGTCCGCGCTGTATATACGGTCATTTAAAAAAAAAAATTGAAGTCTCTAGCTCTTATATCTTTGGAAATCGACGCGTTCAAACATACGGACAGACGGACAGACAGACAGACGGACTCGAATCAGCTCGTCGCCCTGATCAAGAATATATATACTTTGTGGGGTCTGCCACGCCTCCTTCTCCCTGTTACATACATTTCAACAAAACCATTATACCCTGATTTCCCATTGAAAATGGGTTCAGGGTATAAAAATGCCGCGTCCTAGAAGATCTAATCTTTCCCGGCGGACCCATGATGCAATTAGGCAACGGAATATCGCGAGTTAATTATCTGATGAAGAACGAGAAAGGCGCCGCGTTAGTACCCAGCAAAGAAGGGCCTTAATTCGTGCTTCTCAAAGAGAGGCAGCCCGTGAACATGAATATGATCCACATGAGCTAATGCAATCTGTTCAAACAAATGTACCACTGTTGAATCCTAAGTAGAGGGAAATTTATGATACACTGATTAATGCAATTGATGATGGAAATGGTGGCTTATTTTTTTAATGCCCCCGGTGGAACTGGGAGGACATTTCTCATGTCATTGATTTTGGCAACTGTACGTGCGAGATCCGAAATTACGGTAGCAATTACGTGGCATGCTCACGTGTTGGCAAACCATCCGCATTATTTGTTCTTGCACCTGACCAAAAAAACAAAGAATTTCGTTTACCACAAGGTGCTTGAATGAAAATCCGATTAATAAATTAATCAGAGTGTATCTCAACCTGAACAACATAGCTTTCAACAATTTTTTACCTAGAAATAACATAGAGGGCAATGCAACGTTTGCCGGGCCAGCTAGTATATATATACATATATATATGGGCATAGAATTATGTATATGAATTAATGTATTTGAAGTAAGCATTAGATATGCATTTTGAGCAGGGCACACACACACAAACACACACACGCATAAACACACACAAACACACACACTCACACGCATACACACACACGCGCACACACACACACACACAAACACGGCGAGTTGAATTTTTATCTTTCACAGATTCTTTCGGAACGTGGGTGCTTTCGGAGCTACTTAAAGCGTTCTGACCACGAAGAAACCGAAGAATACTCTTGGTGCGGACGAGGTCTGGTGGAGGACGCCAACCACGTCTTATTCGAATGTGGACGCTTCCTAGAGGAGAGACGTCTGGAAGAAGCAGTGGGCCGCTCCCTTAGAGCAGACAACATGGTCAACGTTATGCTGGAATCGGAGGCAGCTTGGAAACTTATAACCACCTTCGCGGCCACAATTATGATGGAGCTTCGCAGAATAGAGCAAAGACGAGCTGTCCCAGGCTAAGGGAGTGTAAAGTGCTTGCGAAGCAATGCTATACGGCCGTCCGCACACGCCTATACACGCATGGGCTGCAGTGTGCGCTTAAGTATCATTATTAACTTTTCTTGTGGACATACGATCTTCATGAAACTTTTAGATTATGATTATATTGATGCATTTGCCAAAGCATAAGTCTAGTATTTGAAGTACGCCTTTTACAAATAAGTGGGTGGGAGGGTGGATATGGGGGTGGGGCTAAATTAAATTAACAAAAACCGAAATTGTATAAAATGCATATAAATCTATACTAAAAATTTGGAGACTTTAGCTTTAAAGTTGTAGGAAATATCATTTTATTACTGATTTTCGATAAGGTTTTTTATCGATAAAAAATAACTTGGCAAGTTATCGATTTTTAAAGCAAAAGTCGATATCCGCATCGCATTTTACAAAAAAATTGAGGTCTCTAGCTCTTGTATCTTCTGAAATCGACGCGTTCAAACATACTGACAGACGGACAGACAGACAGACGGACAGGGCTATATCAACTCAGCTCGTCGCCCTGATCAAGAATACATATATATACTTTGTGGGGTCTGCCACGCCTCCTTCTGCCTGTTACATACATTTCAACAAAACCATTAAACCCTGATTTCCCATTGAAAACGGGTTCAGGGTATAATTATGTGTAGATACAGATACATATGTATGTATGTATATTTCCTCATATACATATGTACATATTCCTACATACATACAAATGTAATCAAGTTTATGAGGCGAATATACATACATATTTATATTGTAGATGTGTCTAAGAATATACACATAACGCACATATATGCATATACTTATATAACTAGAGATTCCGTAGCACGGAATGTATTCTTTTCGTATGTATGTATATATTCATATAAATATACATACATACATGCATATCTATCATTGTAGTGGTTTGCCCTGTAATGTATACCACTTTTTATAATGATGCTTTCTCGGAATTATTCAGACTTATTTATACAAAAAAAATTATTTCTTTGTAGCTTAAGAAGTTAAGTTCTCTTTTAGCAGCAAACCTAAATGCATATGTACATACCAATTTATCGAACAAAGTTATATTATTCCTCAGTTAATCATTTAAGTATGATGTACATATACATATAAACCTTTAAATTTATGCACATACATAAACATTCATATATACATATACATACATTTATAATAAAATAGTCTAAATGCAATTTAAGCTTAACACAGTGGCAAACATAGTAGTAGTAGTAGATTATGTATGTATCTACATATGTATGTACGTATATACATATATATATATATATGTACATAATTGCATAGAGCCTTTAAAAAACCCTAAATAAATATCTACATACATACTTATAAAAACTGGCTAAATATGTAACAGTTAGGTTTTGACTTACCATATTGTTATTTTAGCTTCAAACTGATTTTTATTCCATTTAATAACCTTTTCCTCTAGATGTTGTACAACTTTTTAGGTATCCTTAATTAAGTAAACAACAATCTTTATAAGTTACAAAATAGACCAATGTTTCTGGCTGACAAGTATAATTGTATTTATCCTTAACATTTTCATTTCGATCTGCGCACGCCCAACTTTTAGATGCTTTTACCTCAAAAGCTCCGAGAGAACTTTTGGCGAATGACTGTATTGTTGACTCCATGGCTAAAATAAAATAAAAACTGTTAATTTTATGTGAGAATACACGACTATAGAAATATCCTGTGCTCACTATAACTAAATCGCTTTTATAGACACAACCTTTATAGACAAATCTTAGGTGAAATGTCAAATTTTAAATGGCGAGCTATCCTTAATACCTATTTATATACATATTTATATTAAGGCTGATGTCAGAGTGAAAGCTATCCGCAAAGAAAGAAACATTGCGGGTATTCAAATATTAGTTATTGCGAGTGCTCAAATGTTAGTGTCAGTCGCAATGTTTTCATAAAAAAAGCAACGTGATCCATCCACTAAATGAAAACCGCTTGAAAAGAGAGCTTAATTGCTTATATCCAAATTTAAAACTGTAACCTGACAAATTTTTTAACTATACACGAATGCCCATCAATACTTTTCATTATTGACAAATCAAGAGTAATTGAGATCAAATACATACATAAAAATTTTAATCGTTTTGAAACAAACTGTTATATAAGCTTGAATTGCGAAAAATAACATATTTCATCTACCAACCAGCGATTATTTAAGCTCAGCACGCAACAAATAAAGTAAGAAAGCGATTCTCTGTCTCAATAAGAGAAATTAAAAGTAATATTCAAATCTACATATTTAAAAAAAACAAGTAAGAAGGCTCCAGTCGAGACTGCTCGACTAGGAGATACCCTGAACCCTCCTCCAAGCTGATATTCTAATCATTCTGGACTTTTTTTATGCACACATACATACACATGCACTTATAAGCACGCGCTCTGCTAGCTGCGCAGTAAGCAGCGACAGCGCTTAGGCTGCGCTGCAATGTGGGCAATATTATGAGAATTTATTTGTTGAATAATTTCTTTTGTAGACACACGATCTTAATGAAACTTTTAAACCGTAATCATATGGTTAAAATGTGTGTACATTGCAAGTCTCTAGTACTTGAAATGCGTTTTTTACAAATTGGGGGCGAAGGGGGCGTGGTATCCAAAATCTGTAAATTACAAAATCTTTGTGTCCATTAACTCTATATACAAGGCAAATTTGAAGTCTCCAGGTTTAAAAGTGTCCAAATTAGGCTGAAAAAACCAAGTCGATTTTTCGATTATTCTCGATAAAAAAGTTATCGGATGAGTTATCGAAAAAATAAAGCAAACTCGTACTGCCTATGGTATTCACGAGTATGCATGCCAAATTTCAGCTCTCTAGCTCTTATATCTTCTGAGATCCTTTTGCTCATACGGACGGACGGACGGACGGACGGACAGACGGACAGGGCTATATCGACTCAGCTCGTCGTCCTGATCAAGAATATATATACTTTATGGGGTCTGCGATGATTCCTTCTGCCTGTTACATACTTTTCACAAAACCATTATACCCTGATTTCCCATTTTCAATGGGTTCAGGGTATAAAAATAGTTATTTCGTCACATTTAATGTTTTCTCGACATTGATATTTCCTAATGCTTTAGAAGAATATTGAAATAGGTCTTATTTTCTTTTAGTAGCATAGAAAAATATTTCGTTTATAACATTGAATTCCGAGTACCTAAACATATTTCGTGCATATAGCGTCTACTAACTTTTCTTGTGGATGGACTATCTTCATGAAACTTATAGATTATAAATATATCATAGACACGCTTGTATTTGCCAAAGCACTAGTCTCTACTATTTGAAATACGTCTTTTACAAATATGTGGTTGAGGGGGTAAATATAAGGGTGAGGGGTAAGTTTTAGCAAAATCGAAATTCTATAAAGTACATATATTGCGACTCTAGCTTTAAAGATGTAGCAGATATAAATTTATTACTAGTTTTCGATAATGTTTTTAATCGATAACAAAATAACGGAACAAGGGCCTAGGAAAAAGAATGTCAAGTCTCTAGTCTCTTCTGAGATCGACCCGTTCAAACATATGGACAGACGGACGGATGAACAGAGCTAAATCGACTCAGTTTGTCGCCCTGATCAAGAATATATATACTCTGTGGGGTCTGCCACGCCTCCTTCTCCCTGTTACATACATTTCAACAAAACCATTATACCCTGATTTCCCATTTTCATTGAGTTCAAGATATATATATATATATATATATATATATATATATATATATAAAAAAAAAAAAAAAGAATACAAAATTAGTAAAGAATAATAAGTAATAAGTGCGTAGAGTTTAAAATAAATTTAAAAAGAATTATATAATTCAGTACTCAATTTTATTAAGTTAAACATCACCATGATTTAATACTTTTACAACTAACCAAACAACACATGGACTAGACATCTAGAACAAATTTTTTCCACGCCGAAAAATGAGTCAGCTCAAACATACTGAAAGCGTTTCGATAATTATTTCTGACAACGGGCATGCACACACACACTCGCAGTCCCTTGCTAAATTAGTTATAAATGTCTAGTCTATGTGTTACTTGGTTAATACTATTACTAATAATATTATTAAAATGTGTTCCATTGTCATTCTACGCGCAACATAAAAATTTTAGGCGCTACCTTGTCGACCATATGTGAAACGTTGGGCTCAAAAAATATTGTTTGTATTGTCTGTAGTATTTCTCATAAATGAGTGCATTAACATATGTATTCGTCGTAAATGCGGTTCTTGCGTCTTTTATAGCTGAATCAAACATACAAGAAAAGAATCTCTCCTCTAAATTACCACAATTTAAGGAGAAGAACGTTCCTAACGAATATATTGTGACCTACCATTCAAAATACTATACGCAAGTTAGGAATTCATTTATTTCAAAGAGGCTAATAAGAGGAAATGTGTGTAATATGCATTTATAAATCAATGGCTTACAAAAAAATGACACTTTATATTTTTAGGTGTTAAAATGGTCAATTATATCCCGTTATAACTTAGCTAGTCATTACCCAAGTGATTTCGACATTTTGCATATATCGGATACAAATTACACTTTAATTGAACAAACACTCAGCTTTATCAGAGCCCACCCCGCTGTTAAAGGAGTTTCTCGTCATCATTATGTTCAAAGACTTTTATCATACAATAACACACACAGCACCACATACAATATTCGCCATCCTCAAGGAGTTGCGCGGGATAAGTACGCGAAGTCCGGGCAGCAGCAGCATGTGGCTGCCTCCTTATATGCGGACGTTCTTTGGAAACTTGGAATTACGGGGAAGGGTGTTAAAGTTGCAATTTTTGATACCGGCCTAACTCAAAATCATCCCCATTTTCGAAACGTCAAGGAGCGAACGAATTGGACAAATGAGAAATCTTCTGAAGATGGCGTGAGCCATGGGACGTTCGTTGCAGGTGTAATAGCTTCTTCAAAGGAGTGCCTTGGATTAGCTCCAGATGCTGAGTTGCATATATATAAAGTTTTCACGAACTCTCAGGTAAACATCGAATCACACAAGCCGAAAATTTGGCAGAAACTATGACTTGAAATCAGACTAAGATTGGAATCTAAAGTATTTACCATTGGATTTAGAACGCCAAAAAATATTGGAAAAATATAATCTGATTCTTAGTTACCTAATTCAGTTTCCCTACCTATTTTTACCATAATATCCAATTTCTTTTTAATTAAAGGTATCTTATACTTCGTGGTTTTTAGATGCTTTCAATTATGCCATTTACAAAAAAGTGAATATTATCAATTTAAGCATTGGAGGGCCAGATTTTATGGACTCCCCATTCGTCGATAAAGTTCTAGAACTATCAGCAAATAATATAATAATGATATCGGCCGCTGGAAATGATGGTCCCATATACGGAACTCTGAATAACCCGGGTGACCAAAGCGATGTTATCGGCGTTGGAAGTATTAATTTTGACAATCAAATCGCCAGATTTAGTTCTCGAGGAATGACAACCTGGGAACTTCCTGTTGGTTATGGTAGAATAGGGTTAGACATTGTCACCTATGGCAGTCAAGTTGAGGGAAGTGACGTACTCAAGGGATGCAGAAGGTTATCAGGAACTTCAGTCTCATCGCCAGTTGTTGCAGGAGTCGCAGCTTTGCTCAGGAGTGGCGTTTCGCATAAAATAGAATTAGTCAACCCGTCATCCTTAAAACAAGTGCTTGTTGAAGGTGCTGAAAAGCTGGCGAATTATAATATTTTTGAGCAAGGTCAAGGGAAACTAAATTTGTTAAAAAGTATGCAGTTGTTACTATCCTACAAGCCAAAAATTAGTCTTATCCCATCTTCGATCGATTTCACATCAAGTTATATGTGGCCTTATAGTAGCCAACCACTCTTTTATGGAAGCACTGCTGCGATTGTAAACGTTACAATTCTTAATGGTATATCTGTAACTGGTAAAATTATTGGTCAACCGAGATGGGTACCAGATCCTCATAATTTTGGTCGGTACCTTAACATTTCTACATCTTTTTCAATGACGCTTTGGCCTTGGACTGGATGGATGTCAGTTTACATTGGTAAGAGAGTAAAAAGCCTTCTCTAGTCGAAACTCCTGAATATATCCAGATATACCCTGAACAACACATGCACATGCACACACACATTCCCACACATTTCCATTCCGTAAGACAAGTAACATTGCCCTCATACTATATCATATAATTTTTATACCATGAACTAGGGTTACCATCTGGGCCAGAGGCCCATACTCACTATAAATAAATGAAACGTAAATTAAATTTTCTGTCTTGACAAATTTCCAGTACATCCATACATGTGAATACATCCTTTTACATATATAATTAGACTCATTCACGAAAGTGAAATGAGTATATTGGTTTTGTGCAATGTCCGTCTTGCTGTCCGTCCGTCTGTCCGTCTGTCCGTATGAACGCAATCTATTTCGGCGCTATTGAAGCTAGAGACTTGAAATTTGGAACACATACTCGTGTATATCTCCGATTTATAAAGTTTTAAAATTTTCCCGATCCGCCCACTAGGGGCGTGGCAAATCGGAAAATTCATTTTCCGATATACCAGAAATCATGTTAGTTAAAGAGCTAGAAAGCTGAAATTTGGTATGTAGGTCCGCGCCAACCACCCAAGATCACAAGCTATGGCGGATATATCTCCGCCCATTAGGGGCGTGGCAAATCGGACAAAACTGTATCTCCTAAAGTTATAAACCTAGAATGCTGAAATTTTGCACGTAAGCTAATGTTTTAATTCTATGAAGATGGGTGAAAAAATTATATATCTACGCCCACTAGGGGCGTGGCAAGAAGATATAGTGATTTTTCGAATTCTGCTATATTTTAGGCACTATTGATGCTAGAGATCTGAAATTTGGTATATATACGCGGGTTGATCACCCAAGTCCAACGAGCTATGGTAGATATACATATGTCCGCCCATAGGGTGCGTGGCAAACCGCAAAAGTTTATATCTCCTACAGTTTAAGAGCTAGGAGCTTCAAATTTGGATAGTTAAGTTACTGGTAGCCTCCTCTATCGATGCCCCAAAAATAATTTGTACGCCTCTTTAGGGGCGTGGGATATCGAGAAATCCCCTGTAATTTTCACATTTTTTGAGCGTAAGAATTCAAATTTTGCATTTAGGTAACCGGTTGCTCGTTCTAAGAACTGGCTAAAATTGAGGAGTCGACGGCCACTACGTATTTAATAAGTCAAAAAATTTTGCATTGTGCTCAAGAATCCCATACAGGATTTGAGCTATCTTTAATACTTTTGAGTCACGTTTGTTGCAAAAAACTGTACTACCTTATCTGCGCTGCTTTTCTCAAAAAATTCTTCATTTGTCTCGACAAAAAGTTCTTCAAGTTTGCAATTTGAGTCGCATTTAGTCAAAATGACGATTTTTTTTGTTAGGTCGGGACACCGGGACATTACGTCCAAAGGCGGGACATGTCCCGGAATTCCAGGACGGATGGCAACCCTACCCTGATATATTCTTGATCAGTGCGACGAGCTGAGTCGATTTATCCCTGTCGGTCCGTATGTATGAATAACTAATATATCGACTTTTTTATATCGACTTTTTCTCCAAAAATCGATAATGATTCCCGATATTTTTTTTAGCGATTAAAATCCTTTTGAGGTGGAGTGCAAATTTTAAATGTAGACACATATGCATGTATGTATTTTATTTTCGTTGTTTTTCTTGTGAAAGTTGAACCACGCGAAGCATTATTGTGAAATGTCAATTCTTCGAAAGGTTTAGGGGATTTTGGAGTCGAGCAGTCTCGACTAGAGCTTTCTTACTTGTTTGTAATGAATAATTAGTTATTCGTACCCAATGGTGTGTTTTATAAAATGAACTGTTTTCTAATTTCAGTTGTTAATAGTGAAGCACAGAACTATGAAGGTATAGCTAAGGGACGTATAATATTATTGATAGATAGTTTCCCAATTGGCACAAATACGACTCTACGAAGGGAAGTAGAGTTGCATCTGACAATAAAAATTACACCAAAGCCACCCCGGCACAAAAGAATTCTGTGGGATCAATTTCATAGTCTAAGATATCCACCAGGCTATATACCAAGAGACAATTTAAAGATTAAAACTGATCCGCTCGATTGGAGGGCAGATCACATTCATACAAATTTCCGTGACACATATATTCATTTGAGAAACTCTGGCTATTATATCGACGTGTTAAGAGAACCGTATACTTGCTTTAACCCCTATGAATATGGAGTTTTATTAATCGTAGACCCTGAAGAAGAATTCTATGACGAAGAGATATCCTGTCTCGAAAATTATGTTTATGAAAATGGCTTAAGTGTTATTATATTTGCGGATTGGTATAATACCACGGTAATGAGACACATAAAATTTTTTGATGAGAACAGTAGACAATGGTGGATACCTGATACTGGTGGAGCTAATATTCCAGCCCTGAACGATCTTTTGAGACCTTTTAATATATCTTTCGGTGATTTTGTTGGTGAAGGGCACTTCAAATTGGGAGACCATTCAATGTATTATGCAAGTGGAGCAACGCTTAAAACATTTCCAAATAATCGAGATGATGTAGTTATTGGAGCCAATTTAAATGATCAAGGCGCATCGGTAATAACTTTAATTTTAATAAACATAAATATTAATTTTAACATTTCCACCTCTATTTAAGATTATTACAAACGGAAAATCACAAAATATGTATGCGAAACAATTTTTACCTATAATGGGATTATTTCAAACTAATTCCAAAGATCGGTTCTTTGATAAAACTAAGAATCGAAGGGACCCTCCAGCTAACGAAAGCATTAAGGACTGGGATGTTCCATTTAATCATTCAATTTTAGAAAATCGAAATTTGTTCAGTGAGACGCTCACAGGTCGTATTGCAGTCTTTGGCGATTCCAATTGCTTAGATTCCTCGCACATGGAAAAAGCATGCTTCTGGCTTTTAACAACCATATTGGATTTTGCAATGAATTCTCATAAATCAATGTTATTAGACAATTTGAATCGAATTTCAGAGTTTAGGGAAATGAAGGAAACGGCTTTACCTATCAGAATGCCAGGTAGTAATTTAAAAAAGTTTTCATTGGTGGTCAGATATAAGAAGAAGCCTATATTGCAATGCGAAAAACTGGAATGGATAGTGGCAACAACGTTAGCCATCAGCCCAACGTTAGAACTGGATGTCGATAGAATCGAAGGTATCTGATAAGCTATTGAATTATTTCATCATATAAAACTAACAATTTACTCCATTTCAGGAAATCAAAATAATAATATTATTGCTAACTTGAATACTGAGCTTGCCAAAATAACTTGGAATAATGATAAATACGTTTCTGACCAAATCGACAATAATATTAAGATATCTGTTTTATTTATGATAACACTCAGCTTAACTGTTATTATTGTTTTTATATTATTTTTAAAAGGAAAAATAGGATTTAGTTCTTTTAAATAAAATATATTAATAAAATATGAATATACTCTTTATCCTTCTTGAAGGAGTGCTGAAAGTACAAGTAAATTATTTATTTTGTTTTTGAAATTTTTATAAAATAATGTTTAAAATTAATAAATTCCATTTGGAACAAGCACTTACGGCTGAAGCAAAATATTAATGTACAGTCAACTACAAGTTGAGGTAAACTTACATTTATTTATTTATTTTACAAAGTTACCTATAATACACAAGAATATTAAAGCTAAGTATATAATAAGAGCGCTAGCGACCAGGCCTTCGGCTCTATGTAGGATTATATCTTATTTGTTAAATTACAATCTATATATTTTATTTATATTTATTGTTGTGACGTAGGGTAAGATGGATGAGGGTAGTATATTTGGAAAATGAGCTTTTCTAATGCTAACTAATTTTTTGCAGGTGTCCAGCAGGTGTGCGGTAGAGAGCTCTAGACCACATAAGTGGCAGTTCGGTTTTGGGTCTCCTGACAGTACATGGCTGTGGGTGCCACTGCTGTGTCCTATCCGGAGGTGGGTGAAAATAGTGTTTTTCGTTCGGGATGTGTTGATAGGGAACTTGACTTTCTCCAAATTTGGGTTGCAGTTCCTGTATCTGTGATGAAAGTTAGCCCAGATTTCGATTTATTGCGAGTGGAGCTGTTTGAGAATAACTTTTCGCAGATCTTTTTCCGCTGAAGGGAGTATCATGATTGTGGGATACTTTGACATTGCTTTTGCTGCATTGTCAGCCAACTCATTGCCTCTGGTGCCCCTGTGGCTGGGAACCCAAAATATGTTAAGTTTTAGAGTGGTTTTTATTAAACTTTCTCGTATCTGCACGATTGTTGGGTTTGTGTTAGATAGATTTTTGACAGATTCTACAGTCGACAGGCTATCGGTACATATCGTAAACTTTCCAGTTCTGCCTTGTGCGTAAACGATGGCTTTCAGAATAGCTTCTGCTTCGGCTGAAAATACAGAGTAGTATTCTGGTAGTGTTCCTGCTGATAGAATTTTACCATTGATGTCAACGCATGCGAATGCAGTGAGTTCAGCTGATTTTGTTGCGTCAGTGAATATCCACGTTCGATTAACATAAAATTCCTTGGCTTCATTATAAAATAGTTGGCGGAAAGTTTCCCCGTTTGTGTGATTTTTTGGAAATTCCTGTAGCGCGCAGTTAATAGAGGATTGTCTAAGAAGCCATGAAGGGGCGCTGGGGATTTTCGGTGTTGTTGGAGTTGCGATATTCCATTCTTTGGAGAGAGCGGCGCATCGGCGTATTGTGGAGAGGTATCGGTAGGTTCTCCGTTGATTTATAGCTTTCCGTACCACAGTTTGAAGGAGCTGGTTGGGTGAGCAGAACATTTTCGGGATAAGCAGGGCTATTGTTTCTGCAACTCTGTCCTCCATTGTGGACAAACCCGCTTCTGCTAGGACGCATTTTATTGGAGATGTTGGGAAGGCGTTGATACTGCGACGAACCGCTGTGTGGTAGGCTGGTTTAAACAGGCGGATATGTGACTTTGCGCACCAGCCGAATATTGGCAACGCGTAATCTATTTTTGCCAGTATAAGAGCCCTGGCGACGTTTATAAGACTATTTGTATTTATTAAGGAATGTTTGGAGCTATTTTATAATGTTTAGTTTTTTTTTTCAAGGTTATCTCTGAGATACAGACAGTGATTTTTAAATGTCATTCGCTTGTCGAAATATAGGCCTAATATCTTAAGAGCCTGGACGCATTCTATAGTAAAGTTATTCAAGCTTAAACTAGAGTATGTACATCTTTTTTTTTACAAATGTGCAAAATTTTACATTTACTGGGAGATAGGGTTGCACCAGAGCCCAGACCCCAGTTATATATTTCCTTAAGTATATCTTTTAAAATATTGTTAAGTTTTGTTAAGTCCTTGATTTTACTAAAGATTATGGCATCATCTGCGTACATGATTGATTGAATTTTTTTATGATTAGATACAATTTTGTAGATTTTTTCAAATGCTATAATGAATAGAATAACCGATAATGATGGCAGATTTCCACACGTGGGGGTACTGACCAACAGAACATATATTGTTGTACAATACAATGATGGCAGATTTCCACACGTGGGGGTACTGACCAACAGAACATATATTGTTGTATAGGTTTAAAAGCTCTGCTTTGCCTGTGGCGGGCAGTTGTTTAAGCATCGGATACGAGATTCTGTCGTGACCTGGTGTTTTGCCTTTAGCCTTTGTTAGGGCAGTTCATAGTTCTAACTCTGTGAAATCGTATTCGAGTTGTTTAGCAGATAGACTAAGTCTACCAGGAGCATGAACATACTCAAGGGATGCTGCCTTTTGTTGCCTGTATTGAATGTTGAAGTTGCAGTCTTCGGAATACTTTGACCAAGTTGTGGCAAATATGTTCGATATTTCTAAGGGTGCCGTTATTAATGTATTATTAGCTCTGATACACTTAAGCTGGGGAGGGGGGACTCCCACCAGGGATTTAATGTCGCGCCAGATTTTTTTGGAGGAGGATTGAGGAGAAATATTGGATGTGAAGGCACCGAGCCTCTCACGTTTGGCTTCTTTAACTGCACGCTTAAAGAACGCATTTGCTCTTTTGTAAGCTATGAGGTTAGCATCTGTCATTTTGTATTTATAGGTTTGCCATAATTTTTGCTTTTTATCCCGAAGATCTCCCAGATTTTTATTCCACCAAATTATCTTTCTTTTAAATGTGTGGGGTTTGGTCTGTGGAATTGCCTTATTTGCCGCCATTCGAATTGATTTGGTCATTTGGGAGACTTGCAGTTGAATGTCTGCATTTTGTGTGAATGAGGTGTGGGTATTATAGTTTAAGCGAAACAATTCCCAATTGGCTAAATCAATTTTGAATTTAGGGGAGAAATTAGACTTTTCAAAATGAAACTGATTTAGTATTTCAGTTATGACTGGGAAATGATCGTTGCTGTATAAGTCGTTTAAAACTTCCCAATTGCAGTGTGGATGCAGATTAGAGGAGATAAACGTGAGGTCTATGTGTGTGTAAGTCTTATGTGTGGAAAAATATGTTGGACTGCCATTATTCAAAAGAGATAGGTTAGTTTTTGAGACGGCTTCGATAATGTTTTTACCTCTGGAGGTGGTGCGTGGAGAGCCCCAAGCAAAACCCCAGGCATTGAAATCTCCAGTAAACAATAGTGGAGCGGAGAAGCTGTTTATTATTGTAAGTATTTCGTTCCCAGAAAAATATTGATCAGGGGGGATATAGCTGTTAAGAATAGTACATTTTTCGTTAAGTTTTAATTGAGTGGCCAAGTGAAGTATACTTGAGCTAGTCAGAGAAGGGAGCAGAGAGTGCGGTAGGTGCCTTTTAACAAGAATTCCTATTCCTTGTTTGGCATTAAGGTTGTGTGGTAGGTTAGTGAAGTAACCTATGTATTGTTTGTTGCAGATTATGTTTTTTGAGTTAAAAGGTAAGTTAGTTTCTTGAAGACATATTATATTTGGATTTATATTATTTATTAGAATCGTTAATTCATCAAAATTATTTATATATCCTTTTAGGTTCCATTGAATAACTTTAATGGTCATAGATAAATGAAGTAATAATTGATATATGTATGTCTTCAGGGAACATAGTATTTTTTTTATTTTTTATTTATTTATTATTATTATTGTATCAGTCGGACATTGACTCAGTTGGGTCAAGATCGATGGTGTTATTTGGTGTTGAATCAGATAATCTCAATTGAGCCACAATCGGTGGTGTTGTTTTGTGTTAAGTGTGAGTGAGTAGGTGATTTTGGTTTTGTTCGGTTATTGAGTGTTTTTTCTAAGAAATAAGATAGAGAAGGGGACAGTTGGGATGAAGAGGGAAGTGATGAGGAGAGAGTAGAAGGAGATTGACAGTTATTATGTGGAAGCGAGTCGGGCGCCGAGAGGCGATCGTCAGAGCCACCAATATTGCTCTTATCAGTGTAACGGTTTATGCTGTACTTTGCTTTTTGTGCTGTGCTATTTTCGTTTTCTATGTTTGCTGTGACTGCGGCGTAGCTGTCGGGCTTGGATTGTTTAGGCAAGGGAGCTTTGTAATGAAGCTTTGCCTCTCTCACTGTACACTTCTTCGTGGTTTTTATTTTCAGCATTTCTTTTTGCTGTAAGAATGCACTACATTTTTTGTCTGAGGCAGCATGGTTCTGTGAGCAATTCACGCATTTTGGAGAGCAGGTACCAGAGTGCGGGGTGAGTCAGTTACTACACCTTGGTTCGTTCTTGCAGTATTTTTGGGTATGGCCGAGTTTTTGGCAAGATTTGCACCGCATGGGATTCGGAACAAATTCGGATACCTTTACAGTGTGCCAGCATATGTCGATTTTCGATGGAAGGTTGTAGAGATCGAAGGTAAGAAGCATAACCCCCGACGGTTTTGCCACACCCTCAACTTGCTTGGTGAATTTGTAGATTGCGATAACTTTTTGGGAGGCGAGCTCTTCAAGAATTTCATTGAACCAACATTAGTAGATTTCCGTCTTTTAAATTTGTTATTGCATTAATATTCTTATTGATGTGCTTAAGCGCCTTGTGTACAGCGAAGCAAGAATATTCTGAGATTGTTTTATCACTGTCTTTGGCGGATATATTTTGGGTTAGCAATGTTGTTAGATGGCAGTTCGGGAAAGTCACTTAAAGTTTTTGAAGGTGGTTTTCGTTTTTTTGTTGGGGGACTATCGGCCAGAGTGCTGAACCGATTATGTCCCAGGTTTGGGGGCCCCGGGCCACCCATGGTTTTTTTTTTTTTATCTGCAATCAAGCGCTTTGAACTAATATTTTGTACAAGTAACGGTTGATAGAAAGAGTGTGAGGAGAGAAGAGAACTGATAACAGCACGATTGGTTAGCAACTGACGTCTGCTCGCGATGAGTGTTAGTCGGTGACTGGTAAACTTACATACCTTAATTCGTACATTTAGTTAGCCTACCTCACTCCCACTGTCCACAGAAATAATAGAAAGTAGTAGTAGTAGTAGTAGTCGAGACTGCTCAACTACGAGATCCCCTGAACCCTTCG